TTCATGCGAAACATCACGATCATCATCATCATCATTATCATTATCCTGCGATTCATCCGCATCATCATCAACATCATCATCATCATCGTCATCATCATCATTATCATCCGAATGATCTGCATCATCCTCCAGTTCATCATCATCCTCATCATCATCAACAACATCATCATCACCATCATCATCATCACCACTTTCCGGTTCATCGTCACTATCATTATCATCATCAACATCATCATCATCGTAGCTATCATTATCATCATCATCATCATCCAAATCATCCAGATCAACGTTATGAGAATCATCATAATCATCACCGTCCCAGTCATCGTCATGCTGATTATCATCAATAACAGAATCATCCGATTCATCCAAATGTCCATCTTCATCATCATCAACATCGGCATCATCATCGTCATCATCATCATCATCAACATCATCGTCAGCCTCAACCGGTTCATCACCATCATCATTAGCATCATCATGATCAGCATCACGTTCCGGTTCATCATCATCATCATCATCATCATCATCATCATCATCGTCATCATTATCATCATCACCATCGTCAGCATCATTCTCCTCATCATCGGAAACATCATCAACAAAATCATCATGCAGTTGATCATCATCATCGTCATCATCATCATCATCATCTTCATCCGAATCGCCATCATCATCATCCTCATCATCATCATGTGATTCATCAACTTGATCAACCCATCATCATGTTCATCATCATAATCGTCAGCATCTTCCAGTTCATCATCATCGTCGTCATCATCATCCGAATCATCAATATCATCAATCGAATCATCATCATCTTCATCATCGGATTCATCGTCATCATCATCATCATCGTCATCCTCCTCATCATCATTGTCATCATCCGTATCATCATCATCATCATCATCATCATCATCATTATCATCATCCGGTTCATCACCATCATCATCATCGTCATCGTCATTCGAAACATCATCATCGTCGTCGTCACCATCATCATCATCAACATAATCTTTATCATCGTCAGCATCATCATCATCATCAACATCATCATCATCGTGATCATCACCATCATCATCATCATCGTCCGGTTCACGAGCATCAGCATCATCATCATCATCAACCTCATCATCATCACCATCAACATCATCCGAATAATTTTCACCGACATCATCATCATCATCTTCATCATCATCTTCTTCAACATCATCAACATCATCCGAATTATCTTCATCAGGATCATCATCATAATCATCATCCGGTTGATGACCTTCTTCATCATCCGTCCGGTTCACGAGCATCAGCATCATCATCATCATCATCATCGTCCGGTTCACGAGCATCAGCATCATCATCATCATCAACCTCATCATCATCACCATCAACATCATCCGAATAATTTTCACCGACATCATCATCATCATCTTCATCATCATCTTCTTCAACATCATCAACATCATCCAGTTCGTCACCAACATCATCATCCTCATCATCTTTCGTTACATCAACATCGTCTTCGTCGTCATCATC